GCCCAGATCTCTAACTTAACTCCACAGATCTCTAACTGCCCAGATCTCTAACTCCCTATATCTCTAACTCCACAGATCTCTAACTGCCCAGATCTCTAACTCCCTATATCTCTAACTCCACAGATCTCTAACTGCCCAGATCTCTAACTCCCTATATCTCTAACTCACCCGATCTCTAACTCCCAAAATTTCTAACTCCACAGATTCCCAGATCTTCGATCCCTAAATCCAAATAATATTCTCTTTCCCTTTAATTTTCGACGCGCAAAGTCCCCTCCGATCTCGTGAAATTAAAGCCTTGACAGGCGATAGTAAATACGTTGAGTAAAAGGTACAAAAAAGTTTAGAAGCGCATGTTCAGTGGCGTATACGTCGTACGTAGTAGAGGGATTAAATCCAGAAGACCAGTTCGCGGACTCCTCCGGCCTCTCTTCTACTCATCCTCCTCCTACTTCTTCCACGTCTTCCCTTTTTCTCTCTTATTCCTCGGCGTCGCGTCTCTTATACTAGGTTGCCCTTCGTCCTTTTCCCCTCTATAATTTTCACTCGAATACCTGCTCTAATTATAGGTGGTTCGTCACGCCGAAAGTTTCTTCCTCGGTAGCTTCGCAGGCCGCAGGAATTGTTTCCGAAAGTGTTTCATTGTAAAACACGAAGATGATAGGCGGACTTTGATCACGCCACTATTCAATTATTTTACTCTATTTACTCCATTAGAAGTATTAAAAATAAGCTTCGTTTAAACAATTTTATTATATAAAATTCTGAGGGACACTTGGTTAATTCTCTAAGTAATTCAAGTTAATAAGTGTATATAAACTAACTAGTTTTATTAAACTGTATGATTATGAGTAACTTCAACTGCATAACTAAGAGCTAAGCAAAAGGTGAGACAGTCTTCAGTCTACATTACCCCATAAATTGTTACTTGTACATTCTGATGTTTATATTCCTTTCGTGGTAACTGCACTAGCTTTTGTAAATTTCATTGTTCTTAGTCATTATTGTGACGCATCCTAATCGCTGTACCAGCGAGAATACAGTGCATTTCGTAGCCCTCTAGTGACGAATCAAAGAACCATCATTACAATTGTCACGAATAATCATGAACTTATTATGTTTGCTGCTACATGCAATAAAAATAGAAAACTAATGAAAGTATCAAACAAAAGAAAATGTAATGTTTGAGAATGACAAGCAATGGGAAAGAATGTTCGATGATCGTAAATAGGTAAAGAACGAAAGATGACAATCCGTGTTCCGACGATTGTTGCAGGTATCTGGGTGTAGAGCCCCGGTTGAATCCTGGATCGGGTCAAGGAAGCAGTGTCGACGGACAGGCACAGATCGTCGGCGCGGGTGTGATCGGTCCGGCGAGCGCCGAAAAGAATTGCAAGAGCGTGCACCTGACCAGCAAGCAGCAAGCGATATGCTCCCGCACACCACCCGTCCTGCAGGTATTTACCTCGCGGTAGGGGCAACCTCTCGGATTAATGGCCGGGGAAGCACGCGGCTAATTCGATTCACCAGACCCAAAGCCTTACAACATTGTCCCGTGCAATTTTCCTTCGAATCCTTTTCAAATTTACCACTCACGCATTTTTACGTTTTTACGTTGGCAGGTTCAAAAATTTCACAATCGCTAGATTTATAGCTTTATAGATTGTCAAATTACCGAATTATTTTTTATTATTCTGAGAACTATACATTTCTAAATTTCCAAGTTTTTAACCCCTTCCCTTACCATTTATTTAACAGATGCGTCAGTCAAGACTAACTATTCAGGGCTATAACATTAAAACGAACAAAGAAAATTAAAATGTTGTAACTATTTTATATTCAGGGATCCTTGATAATGTAACTTATAGCTGGATAAAAATTTCAAGTTGAAGAGTATTCAAAATTTGAGTAAGGTTTGTCACATTTTAGCTGTAAGTGCGTCACGAGTGAGACTCGTCAAAGTACGGGAAGGGGTTAATTATTTAACTGTATAATAGTTTAATTGTCTAAGGGTTCATTTTCTAAAGACATGCAAACTTGAGTTTGTACATTATAAATGTTTTAAATAAACTTTCAGATCTCCAGTAATTGTAGTCGTAATCTGATTCATAAAGAATTAAGCGTTTCAAGGAAAATCATTCTATATAATCCTCCTTTCCATGTAAATTTCCCTTCCATTTATACCAGCAAATTACAAATAGTAAGACGAGCAAATCGCCAGATCACATTTTGCTCCGTTTATCTAAACGACCCTCGATAAATTTAGTAAATTTACTTGGCGTATATTTAAAAGAAATGTATAATAGGATTGCACGTATTACTTCAATATCTGACGAACGATAAAATATGGTAATTAGAAACGTTCGCAAGATACTTTACATACCCGTTCCGTTCTATCGCATAGGTAATATACTCGACCTTTGAGGTTTCTCGATTCAGCTTCCTCCTAATTGAAAATTAAACTCGTTTTTTTCTTTATGGTCGAGAGTTTTAACGTCAGATTCAACCATGTAGACCGAAGAAACTTGAAATTCCACTTATAAAGTATACGGTTTTCGAATACCGATGGTTAATTTACTTTAAAGGCAAATATCGACGGCTCGTTTGAACAAGGGAAAAAGTGAAATTAAACGCGATTCAAGCGCGTCATTAAAGTCACCAGATAAACGGGTCATTGGTAATTAAATATTGCAATAACGTGTAACTCTTTCTGTCTGTGTTCCATCGAATATACGCGTACACTCGGCATTATTTTATTGCGACCATAATAAACAATCAATCGGTAATAAAATTATGAACACGCTGTTTCTCCAGAACATTATTTTTATCGCATTTTCATTTATTTTCGTATCGGTTGTAATTTTTACATTTTATGTCGGTTGTAATCATTTTTATATCTTTCTCCGCTTTTATTACGATCATTTTCGTTTCTTCTTTTGCTGTTATATTATCGTATAAATTTTAATTACCTCCGCTCTTGTAGCGGTTCTTTGATTTTGTACTTTTCGATTAAATCAAAGTGTATCATTTAATTTTTATTTTATTTTTTTCTTAACGAAGTGTTAAAGTTTCTAACATTTTTTGCTGCATATTTCACTCAAAATTTTTGTGCATAGTTTTCTTTTATTTTGGATAGAATTTGGTTCGGGGTATCGAATATTTCTAGCAAAGTTTTCGGTCGCGAACGATTAAAGTGATCCGAGATCGCGAGAGAAAATTCAAGACAGAGATGTTTAAGCCGGCTGAACGCGAGGGCACCGGTGAATTCGCGCGATTCTAAAGAACTCCCGGAATGCCGTTCCCGAGTTGTAGCTTTCGTTTGCTGCGCCTGTAATATTTAATAGTCGAGCTCTGTAACAGTCAGGGTCTTCAGTGAACCCTACACGACCTCCTTTCCAGACATACTCGCAGTCGGGAAATGAAGTCGCGAGAATCTGTGATCTCGGATCGAGGATTTGTTCGTACAAGAGAACGTCCGCGTGAATTAACGACGAACAGCTGAAACGGTCATTTCGCGAATCAGTTTGTTCGATGTATTTATTGCGCGTTCAATCCTCCGTATAATTTTAACGTTTCCGATTTAGAGTTGGTTACGTGTACGCCCTTTTCATGAATCACTGCTTCGCGTTCAAATTACACCTTTCGTTATATTGCACCCTCTTTCATAAATCGCGACTCGTATTACTTACACGAGTAAAAGACGTTTCAATTTCAAACCTTTTACAACTGCAATCGGATATTACCTATAACTTAAAATTATTCTCAAACTCATAGAAGGTTAGAATATACTCTTACGAAAGGTCATAAATCACGGGGAAGCGTTCGCGAAGAATTGTCGGAAATTAATCAAGCACGAAATAAGGAAAGAGGGCTTGAACGGTCGAAAAAAACGCGTGGAACGTTGCCCAAAATCGCGTTTACCTTTCCTTAATGCACGAATCTTGTCGGTTGTCCACGGTAGGCAGGGATTTTAGTCTCGTCTAGAAACCGCTGCCTAGGTAAACTCGAGCCTCCGTGAGACACCAAGATCCCTTTGAACGTAGCCGACCGTCTCGCTTTTCCGAGTGCGCGTACCGACAAAAGGACCCATGAATATTCATAACTACGGCCCCCGTCGGATTTTAATTCCGACCGATTAACCGGACACGCTCGAGGATCGTGTCGCGTTAGGCCTCGACGTTGATCGCCGTTTCTTGCGGAATATCGATGCTCAAATCCAATTGAGAAACGTCGTTATAAATATCTTTGAGGGTCGGTTACAAAACAGTGTGACTAATGTGGTAATCATTGTTAGTATTATTTGCTAATAATTTAAACATGGAGCCTCAACTAATATTTTGGCAAAGGAAAGAGTTGTTTTCCTTTTCGGCTCTTATAGTAATTGTGGGACACCCTGTATAGCCTCTTCGTATGATGACAATTTGCTAATAACTTAAAAATGGAGCCTCAAGTAATATTTTGGCAAAGGAAAAAGTTGTTTCCCCTTTTGGCTCTTGCAGCAATTATGAGACACCTTGTATAGCCTCTTCGTATAATGACAATTTGCTAATAACTTAAAAATGGAGCCTCAAGTAATATTTTGGCAAAGGAAAAAGTTGTTTCCCCTTTTGGCTCTTGCAGCAATTATGAGACACCTTGTATAGCCTCTTCGTATAATGACAATTTGCTAATAACTTAAAAATGGAGCCTCAAGTAATATTTTGGCAAAGGAAAAAGTTGTTTCCCCTTTTGGCTCTTGCAGCAATTATGAGACACCTTGTATAGCCTCTTCGTATAATGACAATTTGCTAATAACTTAAAAATGGAGCCTCAAGTAATATTTTGGCAAAGGAAAAAGTTGTTTCCCCTTTTGGCTCTTGCAGCAATTATGAGACACCTTGTATAGCCTCTTCGTATAATGACAATTTGCTAATAACTTAAAAATGGAGCCTCAAGTAATATTTTGGCAAAGGAAAAAGTTGTTT